GAATGACCACCTCAGTGTGGCTTCCTGGGGTGAGAACAGCTTCCCTAGCAGGTGGTGGTTGTGCAGCGGTGAGCTCACCACCTTTCTTTGAACTGACACTTCTCTCTTGTGATTTTAGGCAGGACTCATCTCTGACATGATTTCTGAGAAGCTGATTATTGCCCTGGAGCCGGAGGCTGCATCACTCTGGTGCAAACAGCTTCCACAGGAAGGGTTTATAGCAGACAGCAGTGACAAGAAGAAGTTTGAAGACTCCCCTGGGATCCAGTATATTGTTGTTGACTGTGGAGGTAAAATTTTCCGTCTTTAACAGGTACCATCTTTGCTGGGGGTGGATCATGGTGTTTTGCAGTGTCTGACACAGTGGGCTCCAAAGGACTGCTGCGCTTGTCATGGGGTTTTTATTTCTCACTTAATGAGATCCACAGGCAGGCAGAAAAATGGGAGGAAAAGACAGATCAGTCTGCACTGAGTCCCAGTGTCAGCCACTGACGTGCACCCACATGCTGTTGTATAGCCTCCTTTGTAGGAGCAAGTGTAGTGGTCAGTGAACTGACCAAAGAGATCATTAAGAACATTTGATGGAATGTTTCTTAGTAATTTCTCTAGTTTCCTGGGCAAGTTTTTTCAATGTAATGTGAATTTCCTGCCAAGAGCAGTCTGGTGATTGTGAACAAATACTGAAAAGGCATCAAGACAATCACTAGTTTCTGAGACTCTCACCACCACTGCTCATCTTAACTCAGAGCTTGTGTATCAAAAGGCAGGAGTCAACTATCTATGTGAGGAGGCCAGTCTCCTTCTGTGATCAGAAAGGAGATCCTCTTGCGCAGGGAGCAAGTCAGAGCATCCAGCTCTCATCAGCAATTATTGTAGGAGCCTTGAGAGACCACGCTTCTAAACAGAAGTGCATAAATTTAGGAAATCTAAAGGTGTGCAGGCAATAGTGGAGGAGTGAGGATGAGAAAAGAAAGCAGCAGAAAAGCATGCTTGTGAACCAGGAGTTCAGAAGGTAAGATGATATTCAGTGTAAAGTAAGTACCTCATGTTCTTTAAAGCAAACAGCTAACTTCGTTTGTGTTTGGGGGGTGTGTGTGTAGGCGGCACAATAGACATCACGGTACACGAGATCCAAGAAAACCGTTCCCTGAAGGAGTTACACAAGGCAGCAGGAGGTGGATGGGGAGGCAACAGAGTGGATGAAAACTTCACTGAATTCCTCAAGGAAATATTCAATGATGGTGTATGGGATGAATATGTAAAAAGCCACCCTACCGAATTACAACATATGATGTACAACTTCAGTCTACAGAAATGCTCTGCTAGCAGGGAGGCAGTCTACATACATTGCTACTACAACTTGACCAGAGTGGCAGAACGCAAGAAGAGCATCTCCCAATTCTTCACACAAGCAAAAGGAGCTGTGTGGTGTGATGGGATGATCATGATTACATATGAGAAAATGAAAAGCTTTTTTGACTATAGTATCAAAAATATAATTTGTACTTTGAGGGAAATTCTTGACAAGCCTGAGATGGCCAAGGTCCAGTACATTTTGCTTGTGGGAGGCTTTGCATCTAGCGTCATCTTGAGAGATGCAATCAGTCAGGCCTTCAGCAAGAATTATCATATCCTTTGTCCAATGGAGGCCCAAGTGGCCATTGCAAAAGGGGCTGTTTTGTTTGGAGTTAATCCACACATTATTGCCTCAAGAGTCAGCACTCGGACATATGGCCTATCAATAACTTGTAAATTTGATCCTGCTATCCATGACTTACGGAAACAAAGGATCGCAAAAGCTGATGGCTATATTTATTGCACAGATCTCTTCAAGAAATTGGTGGGAATTAATGAGTCAGTGAATATAAATGAAGTCGCCCACTATATTTTCCATGAAAGAGTGCGTTTTTCTTTCTATTGTACAGAAAAGCAGGATGCTCAATACATAGATGAGGAAGGGATGCAATGGCTTGGCTCCTGTACAGTGCCAATGGCAGACAAAACGCTGGGGAGGAAACGTGAGCTGAAGCTGGATATTAAATTTGGGCTCACTGAATTTAAAGCTATATGTACTGACCTTACTTCCAAAGAAAGTCGGACAGTTATAATAGATTTTTTAGCTGTGTAAATGCCCAGTACATCGAGCAGCAGGGACAATAACTCAAGGGAGAGCATGACTTTAGTGGGAGGCAATAACTACTACAATAGAGAAGGCAAATGGACCATAAAGTCCATCATCCAGCCTTCTGCACGCACAGGTAAATGTTTTGCTAGTCTGATTCTCTGGTTCCTTCCATTACTCACCAACCACCCTTTCAATCCAACACCTCTCTTTCTGTCGTATCTGACAGCAAGTTTATCTGCTGCTTTATCTCTTGCCCTTCTAGCTTAGCCCCATTGCATCTCTGAACACAGTAGTCTATACTCCCAATATAACAATCTGTACTTGTGTTTGATACAAAGCTGCTGAACTGGTGTCTAACTTCCACATATACCAGCCCATAATTATTTCTTTTAGCCTGATATCTTCTTTCAGCTACAGCCTCTCTTCCTCTGATACCAGGTCCCTTCATCTGGAGTGCAGGTTTAACTTTGCCAGTGGTGACACTCAATGGAGTTGAGTTTTCTTCAGAACATCACTAATAAAGATTGTGTGTAATTAAAGTGCTCTTGTCCCAGTGACGATACTCTGTGAAGCAGTAACTTAATGTAGTCCGTGGGCTTGTATCCAAAAACCTGTGGGAGTGTTGTTTCCATTAAACCATCGGGTGGTTTGATCTCATTAACCAGGCAGATACGAATGCCAGATCGTAACATTACAGATATGAAAAGTGCTTATGCCGCTGTCTGAGCATCTCTGTCAAGCCGTGAGTACTCTCTACATCACTGACTTGGGCTGGATATTTTCCATGTACATAAAAGCTCATTTCTTTGCCTCCTGCCTACAGCACCGATGCACAGTTTCAGCACAGTGTGGCCCACGTGAGCCCAAATTTGTCCAAGAAAAGGATGTGATCCTGCAGTGTACTGGGTCTGGCTGAGGTGGAGTTAACTTTCTTCATAGCTGCCCTTATGCTGCTGTGTGATTTATGGCCAAAACGGTGTTGACAGCATACCAACGTTTTAGCAATAGCTGAACAGTGCTTGCCCAGCGGCAAGGCTGTCTCTGTTTCTCACTGCCCCTGCAGCGAGGAGGCTGGTGGGGGTAGCTGGGGGCTGGGAGAGGACACAGCTGGCACAGCTGGCCCCAACTGACCGAAGGGATGTTCCATGCCCTGTAACCTCATGCTCAGCAATAAAACGGGGGGAGAGTTTCTCCAAAGCAGCTATTGCTTTGGAGACTGGCTGGGCATCGGTCTGGTGGTGGGATCTGGTGATTGCCTTTGCATCACTTGAAGGTTTTTTTTGTGTTTTATTTTTCCCCTTCCTTAAGGATGTAGAGTTTCCCCATTGAACACTGACCTGTCCCAGTGCAAATACTTGGTTAGCTGGATACACACATGAAAACTCAGTGCTGGCATCTTTATTAGCTGTAACGACTGCGTTAGAAGCACTGCTAGCCAAGTACTTAATGTTGTCAATATCAGCAGCATTCAGGTTAATCTGTACATATACTATGCCCTATCGTGTATAAAAGCTGAACTATTTTGAATACATCACCTTTGTTTTCACATTTAAAATCTTATCTGTGCAATAAAAGTATTTACAACAGAAACCTGTGTATTATTCTATCGTGTCAGATGGTACTTCTCAGTAAACTATGTGAGAGCCATTCTGGGTGGTTAGGTCCCAAGAAGCTGAGTACTCCTGCTTTTTTTCTTACCCACTGGACTTGGTACTTTCACCCATGCAAAGTGCAACACAGCCCTTCCTCCAGCCCATTACTGCTCTCTGAGTGGGAGAGAGAAATGCAGTCTGCCCCAGGTCTTTCCCACCCATGTGCTATGTGGACTTGGGCATTCAGACACTGACACCAGCAGTTGTGATTGCAGCTCCTAATTTTGCTTGTTTTGATGAACTATTAATGTTGATAAGCTCAGCTGCTGAGCACGGAGATGCAGGTGTTTGTCATCTCTGTAAAAGCAGCACTGAGTGTCAGCATCTCAAAGTAAGCATCTGAGAAATCTGGCAATACCTGCTAAGGGGGCTCTAACCTCTGTCTGACAGTACCAGGGGGGGTGTGTGTTTGTGTGTGGGGGGGGAAATAAGAATTATAGCTGCCAAGCCCTTTCCAGCCATCCTCTACAACAGGTATGTCTGCTGAGCTGGGGATTAACCCCTGTTGTGTAATAAATAGGGTTGTTTGTTTATATCAAACATGAAATTTAAAGAACAGGTCACGAACTTTCAAGGAGAAGAAAACGCGGGCAGCTTTGCACTGCCTGTGACTGGGGTATCAACGAGCTCTGCAGGCAGTCATTGCTGCCGGATCCTAAATGGCTGGGTGGGTAGAAGATGCTGTCTGTTTCTGTTGCCAGAGCTTGCCATTTGCCTTTCTGCCTAAAGCACGTGATTTCTTGGAAAACAAAACAGAACAAACCCCACTTTGCAGAGCCGCCGCCTTTTCCTGTGCCGCAGCGGGAGGCACGTCCGCTGCTTCTCTGGTTGAGGACAGTGCCAGGAAAAGCTTGGCCGCCGCACACAGTCCGAAATACGCGGCTGTGCTCCCTGCTGAGGATTTCCTAGTGCCCTCTGCCCCTCGGCCTGACTGTGCCTGCTGGGGACCATCCCATCTGTGGCCGAGGCTGTCTCTGCAGCCCATGAGAAAATATTTCTCCCCATTCAGCAGATATTACACTTAAGAGCATTCATTTCCTTTGGGATATTAAAACAAAACAAACCATGGGAGAGGAAAAAGAAATAAAGCAAGCACGCATCCTCTTCCTCTGGGGTGGAGGAGTGAGTGTCAGCAAAAATGTGATGACTTTAAACTGCAAATTTTTCACAGCAATGCCATTTCGAGGCCAAAAAAATAGGCTTCTGGAGGTTTTTTGTTTCAATCTCTAGAGATCCTTGAGGTATAGTACAGATGCATATAACCCTATTAGAGATGTCAAAACTTTATGAGGTATTACTGAGTTCATCTTACAAGGATGACTCAGCAAACTGTGCAGGGGGGGAATAGAAGATAATTTTCCAGAACAGTAAAACTAACACCTGAAGGTGAAAGGCGATAATAGAAAAGTGTGTTACAGAGAGCACAGTGACATGCTTGAGGGCATCACTGTTTGTTTTTTCTGTGCAGGAGGAGGTCAGGGACTGCCCTTTGCTGCTCACTGCTGGCTCGGAACCAGAGAAAATTGACCCGCTGCACCCCAAAACTGGACCAGCCAGATGAATATACGGTGCCTCTGTGGAAACATGTTTAAGAAAGGGTAGTAAATGCTGAAAAAGGAGAGACAAGGCCAGGGCAGGTACACCACCCAAAGGGACAGTGACCGGTGGAAGAGCCCGTGCTGGAACAGTTTTTTGGCCCACAACAGGATGTCTGACAATGTATCGAGTGAATAAGCGTCTTCGTAATACAATGTCCCAGACAAGATTGGGAAGAGCAGAGGTGACATTCCCCTAGCGAAACTGAGGTTTGCTTGTGAACTGCTGCAAACAAAAACCAAAGGGGAGGGAAAGGAAGGGCGAACGAGTGAGATGAAGAGTAAAGGCTAAGAAAGCGAAGAGGGAAGATGCATCCTTGAGCAATGGGCATTGCTACCATAGCTCAGGCCAGAGCGCTGGGCTCACCACTGTGCTCCAGCTTCTCCCACCGAGAAGTGTCCACAGCAAGTTAGGGTGCACCGGGGTCCACGAAGACAACATCACACCTACGGAGAGGAGGAAAATTTGCAAGGGAGTAATCATCCACAGTCACATCCTGAAGAAAAACCAGCTCTACCTCCATGCTCCGGACCTGCCCAAGCCCCTTCCCCTTTGGCTAAAATTGGTGCTGCTCTTTCTTCAGGAGCTTGGTCCCTCCTAGGCCACCCATGACAAGTACCTGATGTGTGTTCTGCTCTCGGCCAAAAACTTGGTCCTTTACCTACCGAGCTCCTCCCAGGCAGTTTTCGCTCCCAAGGCCTGGGAACCGCCAGCTCCTCGGTGCTGTCCTCGTTCCTTCCTCTGTGCCCCTGTGCTGGCGTCTGGGCTCAGCCGACCGGCGTTTCCCTGGTTTGTATTTGCCTTTAAAGAGGTAGTGGTCCCGGCAGCACAGCATGTGTCCCTTTCCCAGGGCTCTCCTCAAATCTGGGACATTTTTCTGAGGACTTTGGGATGAGAAAGCAGAAGGCTGTGCAGCTTTCTATCAGACCACTCTTTCTTTGCTGTGGTGAAAAGGGAGAGGGAGGGAAGGGTGGGGGCAGTTTTGGTGCAATCATTTGAGGCATCCCTTGGCAGTGGTGGGACACAACGCCACCAAGACTGATGGGTCTCTGAGGTTGCAACCACCGCTTTCCTTCTGCCCTGGGGTATCAGGCTGGTTTTGTGCGCCACGCCACACATTCCTCCCTCGTGCCTGTTCCTTCCCTCCTCTAAACCATCCCAAACAATACAAGGTTTTGTCTGTACTCAGCATCCAGCAGCAGCAGTTCCCCAAGCCCCTTAGCCCTTATTTCATGTGCGTGCCCTAGACTTAACCAGAACATTCCTGCCAGAGGTTAAGCCCAAGCACTGCGTGGATAATCCAAGATATTTTTTTTTTTGCCTCCAGTTCCAAGTGACCGTGACAATAATATATGTGCTGTTTGCAGCTCTGCACTGGCCCTTCTCCTGCCCCTTATCTCTTCCTCCCTCCTAGGCAGGTAGGGCTTAGAAACAGGACAGAGATCCCAGCTGCAAGCCAGGAGGATTAGGGTAGTAAAATGCTTGTGCTTCCAGCCTGGGTGTCCTGCACCCGTTTATCTCCTGCATTAAAATGACATGGCTTGTCACGGCACTGTGGCCAGGGATGCTGTGCCCACACTGCCATCACTGTCCCCGCAACGGTGTCATTTTGGGCTGGTGATGGCTCACACCGGCCTGGTACCAAGGCTGAGAGCAGTGCAGGGTGAGCCCCTGCTAAACCGGAGGGCCGTGGGGGAAGCAGTAACCATGGCAGGAAAGCAGGACTGGAGAGAGTTGCTGGAGCTGGAAACAGGATCTTTGGACTGAAGGAGTAATAAGTGCTGGGAAGAGGAGATGGCCGGCCACCACGGTGCCCACAGCACAGCAGCGCTCTCAGGAGCAAACCAGGAAACGTAGTGCTCGGGCAAGGATTGCCCCTGGGAAACAGAAGCCTTTGCAGAGTCTTGGCAGAGGTGAGAGGGGAGGAGAGCTGATCTTTTTCTTCCCCACTGAAAACTCTCTTTTTTCCCTTCGCTGCTCAGACAGAGATGTTTGCTCTGGCACGTGACGCCACTGCGAGAGTGCTAGTCCTCCCTCCTCATGTGGTCAGTTTCTTTCCTGATTAAAAGTGATTAGGCAGCCCTAAAGCCTGCAGAAATGTGACTGAGGAGAATGGAGACAAAGAGTCCATTCAAGATCTCTTAAATCCCTGGGGCACTATTTAGAGAGCCCTGAAGAGAGAACTGGAGCAGAACCACCCTGCCAGGACCTCCCTGTCCTTCTCCCTCCTGCTGTGCCCTTCGTTGCAGCTGTCTCCTCCACCATGTCCTTCTCTGAAGCAGAGGTGCAAAGTGCCCGCGGCGCCTGGGAGAAGATATATGTGGATGCCGAGGACAACGGGACAACTGTGCTGGTCAGGTAAGGAAATAGCCCATGCTGCTGCTACCCCGGAGGGTTGAAGAAGGAATGGCAAGAAGGATGGAGTTACCACCTAGAAGCATGTCTTGATGTTTTTCATGCAGCCCTTTCTGGGAACATTTTGGTTTGCTGTGGTTTATTGCACCTCAGGGAGGAAACAGGGACAAGGAGAGATCCACACAAAGAAAAGTAAAAGGAAAGGGGGAAGAGGGTGGGAAAGGACGAAGAGATGAGAACAGTCTTTTCACCCATTTCAGATAAAGGGAAGTGTGGTATGAAAGAGAATGGGAACAAAACATGAGCCCTATTTCCTGCTTCCCCTTTATCTCTAAACTCCTTTAATGATATTTAACTTGCATGCCCTCAATATTTCTCTTCTGATTCTCCTTCAGCCTTTCCAGTCCAGAGCCCATCTGTTTCATTGTATTGTACCCTTCCTGTGGGCTTTCTTCTCTTGTTTTTCACTCTGTTTTCCTCCCTTCTTCCATAAGACAGAAGTTTCTTCTATTCGCCTTTCACATATCCCTCTCTCAGCTGGGACTTCCATCACTTCCATATGCACTGATCAGTCCAAATGCTATTTCTGAGTATCACATCCTTACCACTCCTTCTGGCTTTCTTGTATACCACTTCTTGTGCCTGGATCAGCCTCGAAAAGTGTTATGCACTGCTCTTTCCTTCTGCAGTCTACACAACATGAACACAGTTAGGGTCAGAAATGCAGCTATAAAATGCTAGTAGCATCCAGTGGCTTGGCTCCCTGGGGTAATTTACTCTAGAAAGTTTTGCCTTAGTGTCCTACAGCCCCAGCCCTGCCTTTAGAGAAGTTCTGGGCTCTCTAGTACAAGAGAGACATGGACATACTAGAAAGAGTTCAACAAAGGGCCACGAAAATGATGAAGGGACTGAAGCATGTCTCCCATGAGGAGAGGCTGAGAGAGCTGGGACTGTTTAGCCTGGAGAGGAGAAAGCTCAGGGGGATCATTATCAATCTATATAAAAACCTGAAGGGAGGGTGCAAAGAAGACAGAGCCAGGCTCTTCTCAGAGGTGCCCAAGGACAGGACCAGAGGCAGTGGGCACAAACTGAAACACAGGAGGTTCCCTCTGAACATCAGGAAACACTTCGTCACTATGAAGGTGACTGAGCACTGGCCAGCCCCAGGGGGGCTGTAGAGTCTCCATCCATGGAGATATTCAAAAGCTGTCTGGACATGGTCCTGGGCAACTGGCTTGTCATGGAGGGGTTGGACTAGATGACCTTCAGAGGTCTCTTCAAACCCAACCGTTCTGTGACTATGAAATGCAATCTGGAATTTGCTATTGCTGTTTCAGGTGGATAACTGGTTTACCCCATGGACTAAACTGCTTTTTTAAGAGGTTGACCAAGATGGCCGTAATTGATATATTATAAAAGGCAGTTCCTTTATGAATGGCCTTGAATTGTGTTACTTTTGAATAAACAAAATGAGCAGTACCCAGTACTCAGACAACCATCCATCCCAGGCAGTAAGAAAGCTTTTGGATGGACTCTAGGAACAGGTTAATTAACAAAACCAGTAGTAGGGTTTCCCCATGAAAACACCCACCAAGAGGACAGTGGAAGTATCTGCTGTCCAAAACATTTTTGGGAATATCGTGTTGTCACACTTGCCCTGTGTGAATGCGCTCCCACTTCTCCACCTAACACTGAGTCAACACTAGGAAATATTTACTTTAGAAGCAGCAGAATAAATTCAGGATAGGCAGGTTTTAAGGCAGAGTGAGCAAAGGGAAGTGCCCTGAGGAGAGGTGAGGGAGGGGACAGGCTGCCATGGACACAGGGGCTGTGCACGGGTGGGAAGGGCAAAGGAGAATCAAGAAATCCAGGGGACAGACGTGTCTGCTCTAATAAAGAAAAGGAAAAAGGGCAATAAATACATAAGACAAGGCCTGGAATGTGAAGACATATCTGCATCAATGCCTTGGTCCACAAATTAGGACATCTCTCGTTTCTCAACAGGATGTTTACTGAGCACCCAGACACCAAGTCCTACTTTGCACATTTCAAAGGCATGGACTCTGCCGAGGAGATGAAACAGTCGGATCAGGTCAGGGGCCACGGCAAGAAGGTTTTCACCGCTATCAATGACATGGTGCAGCACCTGGACAACTCCGAGGCTTTTCTTGGGATAGTGAACCCACTTGGCAAGAAACATGCCACCCAGCTGAAGATTGACCCCAAAAACTTTAGGGTGAGCCAGCAGCTGTCTTCCCAGCAGCTGTAACTGTGATGGGAGGATGTCTTCCCCTTGGAGGGGAAGAACTGAGGGAAACAGGCTCTGTGTGTACATATATATATGCTTCAGAGAGCGGAGGTGGTGGAAGTTGAGATGGCTGATGGTGGAAGATATCAGGAATGAGAGATCTGGCATCTGGTGGGAAGAATAAGGCTGAGTAGCAAATGCAATACAGGCAGGTCTGCTCAGGTGGGAGCTGCAGAGCTGCCCATGAGTTGTAATGGGTTTTCTGAGTGAAACAGGACTCCCACACACTTGTCATTTAATAACCGGACACAGAAAAGCAGCTTAGCACTGGACTTCAGTCCATGATGTCTATTTTTCTCTAGTAACAGGAACTGAGCTTTTCTAGGACAACTAAACCAGCTGTTATTGAGCAACAATGGCAATAGCATTGCTATCTCTAAAGAAACACAGTTAATACATACATGATCAAATGACTTACCCAAGTCCACCTAAGGTCACTAGCAGAGTGAATTTATAACTACTTTGCCTTTTACAACACAAAATGCAAAAAGAGGTACCTTCTGGCAAAAGGTCCCTCAGACACCAGTAGGGTGGTTTCCAAAGGACCAGTCCCAGTTTTCAGTAAGTGGGAGAATAAAAGTGCTGATTTCTGCCTTGAGAGATCCTGAAAAGACTTCTTCAGGGTAAAGATGCACACAAAATAATAAATGTTGCATAGAAAAAGAGTTGACATTTCAAACTATACCACCTACCTAGTGACTGTAAAGACATACAAACCCTCATTGCTACAGAGCGCTAGATTGCTGATGAGCAGGAAAGGTTAGGAAGAAACTTACCCCCCCCAAGCCATGTATTCCATAAGTGTCCAACACAGGGGTCCCTGAGACCTTCAAACACTTGGGACAGTCCATTGCCAGGAGAAGGATTGCAGCAGATGGACCAAATGAACTGGTCCTGTACAGCAGTCTTTAAGTGACTCTGTGTATGGGTGCAGTCAACTTTAACTAGATACAGAATAGTTAAAAAAAACCCCCAAACCAACAACTATGAATGCATTTTTTTGTGAATTCTATAATGCACCTAATTTTCCACGACCTATTTCCAGCTCTGCGTGCTGTATGCTACTGAATTGTTTTTGTACCCCTTTTCCACCCTCCAAGAATTCCACCCAAAAACTTATATTTTGTTCTTACGCTTCTAATGTGGAGGAAAGTTCACACTGTTTGTTTCTTCCCTTCTCCTTGTTTAGATTATCTGTGACATTATCTTGCAACTGATGGAGGAGAAATTTGGTGGAGACTGCAAAGCTTCCTTTGAGAAGGTGACCAATGAAATCTGCACTCACCTGAACAACGTCTACAAAGAGGCGGGTTGGTGAGGATGTGCAACCTACAGGCTCTTCAAACATCTCACCAACGCTGATTTGCTGCAGTTCGGCCTCCAGCCACAGTTGGAAGAACGAAAAAGTAAAAAAAAATAAAGCAAGAAAAAGTCTTATATAATGTAGATATCAATGTCAATAATTTCCTTAGCAAACTGAGTTTCTACAATTAAATAAAACCCACAGATACATCAAAGCCAACCAACAAATCCTGATGTGCTTTGCAGCGTCGGTGGTCCAGAAGGGTTCCTCTGGCCAGAGTCCCTGAAGACTACATTTTAAGGTGATGACTTTAAGCTTGCTATTCCTGAGAGAAAGACTTGCTCCTTCCAGCAGCACTAGCCCAGAAAGGCACCAGCAGCTCTTTATCTCTGCTACCACCTCTCCATCCTCATGAATGATGAGCAGGAGACCATTCTGAAGCATCGCCAGGGACTTTGTAGAGGTCATTATTTAAGAGGCACGGGTGTTGTTTCATGTTTGAACTGAAACAATGGGGGGAGTGGTGTATGGGAAAGGCTAATGTCTGAGAAAGACAAGGGGAAAGTCCCGTCCTGCATCAGCCAACAGATTTCCCCAGCCTGGGGGGAGGATTCTCGGAGCAACTTTCAGCGCAAGGGATGGCAATGCTGAACGGGGTCACCACTGGGTCCCTCTGGGCGGGGATGAACATCTCCAGCACATGGATTTCACGGTGCTGCTCCCAGCAAATTGCTCTGGCCACGTACCCAGGAGAGGGCAACAGTACCGAAGCTCACTAGCTCCTGTGCTGCTCAGAATGCATCCAGCTGAGGGAGGTTGCTGCCCCGCTGAGTGGGCGGCGTGGCGGGCTCAGCTTAGCATGGGATTTCTGTGGCGTTGTCCTCATCCTGTCCTGCTGCACGGCCTGAGCCTCCCTTCAGTGGAAACCGAGTCCCGAACTATTTAATTGCTTTTCCTTGTATTCCTTAGATGTGGTAAAATCATCAGCTAATAACTGCAAATAACCACACCCCGTTTTGCTTTAGTGTTACACAATAAACACAGAGAAAGCAGTCACATCCTGTCATTTGTAGCACGGAAAAGGCACTCGTGGTGCAGAGGAGCGGTAGCTGGTTACAATGCATGGTCACTGGTGGTACTGGGGGTTTTACTGAAACCAGCTCAAGCTCCCACCCAGGCACCCATCACACTTGCAGTAATCAGGCTCCTTGGGTGGTGGGAAGGAAAGTTTTTCACTTGACCACGAAACAGCAATTTTGTGAATAGCTAAAAATGCAGAATTCTCCTTCATTCGAGGTGTAGTTTTTCCTCACCCATCCCATTTGTTTGGCAAAGGAAGCTGAAATCCCAAAGTCCAGAATATGAATTCTTTCCAGAGAGGAAGGACGGGGCAGGCTGCTTTACTGGATTTGATATTTTGTCCCGCTTGGGGGGAAGGGGAAGCATATTGCACGGCATTGTCCAGTACTGTAAGAAAAGAACAAGACTTGCGAAAAAATATTTATAGTCTCAAATCTCTTTGAGGGAGTACAAGTAGTTAACACTCTGAAAAGCTTAAAATAATTTCCCCTTTTTATGTACTTGCTGTAATGCACATTAAGAGAACTATTTGCCATGACCATGGTTAGCTGTAATGATGAGCTCATCATTGCCATAGACACCCTGGGCTGACAGGGGCCTGAAAACGCTGGCTTAAGGCTCTTGTGTTCCCTGCTGCCGTGATGGAGAGAGGCGTAGCAAAAGCAAAGTGTGTGAAACAAATCAAAATCAGGCTTAAGTGAAGAGGGAATTATTTTTAAAATCCATTTACAAAGGGAGTGACACATTAAATATTAAAAATGTGTATGATGTGAGCGGTTTAGGAGTACATGGCCTTTATTTTTTTGTTTAGCCGAGATATCAAAGGATGGCGAGAAGCTTTCCCAACAGAGCATAGGTCAGATGACATCTTGAGACTGAGGATACCTGAGTTGCATTCCCAGTTTTCCAGCAGCCTCACTGCACAATTCTGTCTTTCCTTGGACCTCACTGTGCCTCTGCAAAACAGCAACATTCACGTACTTGGAGGCAAACCAAACACGCTCATTACTTACTGAACCAGTAAATACGTGGTGCTATACATACCGTATTCATTCTTGGGGATACCTTTGATCCTGTGAAGAGAAACCTAAGGAAAAGATCACACCTACAGGTAGCAGGAAGAGCTTTTCCGTGGAGCACCAGCAGTGAGTGGGACCAAAGCCCTCACACCAAGCTTCGTGGTTTTCTTACAGCCTGTGGGACATCAGGAAGGTCTGGGTGAGACGACAAAGCTATGATGTAGCACAGGTACTATGACAAGTGATGGGTTAAATCAGCTAAGTGCCATGGAGTTGTCTTGTGTCTGACACCTAAACCAGAACAGTGCAAACAGATGGAAAATACTGAGAAAGGGGGAGAGGAGTGAGAGGGATCTCATGGAGGAAGTTTATCCCCTCAGCTAGTAAAATCAAAAAGTGCTTTACCAATCATGTTTCTGGAGAAAAAGCAAAACCTGACTTTGTAGAGATAACCAAACACTTTACTGATTCAAAATAATACTAAACACTGTAAAAACACATATGTACTTAAATTCAGTTCATTGGCTTCGCTGAGTGAACTCAGACCTTCCAATGGGGTCAAGCTTTGGGAAATAAACACAGGCAAAGAGAGGAGAGAAATTTAACCTGAAAAAATTCATCTGCTGTAGTGACAAAACAGAAACTTGCCCAGAGGAAGGTGCACTTGCATGGCATTCCTGCGCAAATACAAATCAACGTCGGGATAAAATCCCAGAGTCCAGTGGTGTGTGATAGCATCACCAAATCACTCTGAGACAAGGGCTACAAACTTACCAAGGCAATTTGAAATGACAGGGAGTGTTTTACAGAAGTAGTTAACCCAGCTATTGAGGCATTTAAGCCTAATAATTTTCTTGCTAGAGAGTCTGAGCCAAGCAGCCTTCCTGCCCCAGCCTGCAGCACGGGCAGTAGATGAGCTCAGTGAGGTGAGTAAGGGGGAGGAGGTTGTCTCAAATATCCCGGGGCTGCCCAGAGACAGGACTAGAGACCTTGCAGAGGATTTGGGGAAGCTTCTAAGAAATCCTTCTAGCGCGGTCTAGGTGATAACCCTCCCTTGCACCCACTCTTCCTGCTGGAAGGACATTTACGTTATTGGTGATCGAAGGGTTGCTTGAGCTCCTTTGCTGTAGAGCTGTGGGTGTAGGTATAGCTATAGCCCTCAGAGGTGTTGCTTTACACTGAAAGAGTAGGGGCAGCTTCCATTTGCTGTTTAAAACACCTAGTGATGGGCAGAAGGCGATGAGGGTACAGCCCAGGCAGGAACGTGCTGGGAGCAGCAATGCTTCTACCCCGTGCTAGGTGCCAGGGTGGTCGCTTCTGTTAGACTTTCGAGTCACCTTCCTGGTTAAACAGAAGGTGCCACAAGACTTGTAAGGGCACCACGCGTGATGAGAAAGGATTGCTGCCTACAAAAGGTCATACTGAGATCAGTGAATTATAATGCCTGAATTGGCACTAGGAGCCAGCAGTCCCCGGAAGAACTGAGCAGCCACCGAATTCAAAAGCCTGTCCGTCAGGCGTGGTGCTCAGGCGTCTCATAAAAGCACAGGCGTGACTCCTGCTGCAAACCTCACCGAAAAAAAAGCCCCAGACCTATTCTAACCTTTCAACATTGTAAAATCTTTTTTTCTTTCATTACAACATCCTGCTTTAGGGAAAGGTGATGTTAGAGAAGATGCCTTTTTTTCTTTACCTTTGCTAAAGCTAATACTGTGTTAATGAATATTTGTAGTTAGAATATCGCTGAGGCTCAGTTAACCTTAAATGTCATACCAGAGCTCTTCTGGCTTATGCAGTGGAGCGGGTTTGAGCCAGTTCAGGGCACGGTTATACTGCTCAGATTACACATGGTCGGTATCAAACCAGCCTAAGACACACAGGAGTGATTTTTTCCTGGTGGGAGCCAGCAGCATCCTAGACTGAATCGTTTGCTTACTCAGTGGGGAGCAGAAACAGCATCCCCGCTGTACCGCAAGAATATTTTGTATGCTTGCCTCAGAGAGCCCAGGCTTCTGCTTCTGATGTCACTTCCCCAGAAGGAAACACTGCTGCGGTGTCTCTCTTACACCCAGCGACATGGCGCTTCACCTCCCCCCCCCCGCACAACTATACGGGAGCAGACAAATCAGGGACACGTGGCTGGTGATGGTGGTGCTGCTGCTGATCTCCATGCAGCCTCCCCCGGCTGTCCACCAAGGAGACCCGGCAGTCGCTAGTCGCTGCTGTCAGGCAGAGCAGGCTGATCCCGACCTCACGCTGAAACTGCCATTAGCACAGGCCACCAGCAGAGCTTGGCACGGGGTTACAAGCAGGGGCAGAATTTTAGGACAAGGAAGACAATGGGTGTGAAACGTTGGAGCTGACACCTGGATTACGGTCCCACCCTCCGTCAAGGCAGCGGTGGCCCTCCCCTGTTGGAAATGAGCAGTTCTTTACTCCCGTTGCACTGTTGCAAACCAGTTTGATCTCAGGAAGATGGCAGCACTTTAATAAGTTACAGCAGTTCGATGCAAAGTCCCCAACCGAGTTATCACCTTCTAGCGATGGATACGCAGAAGCTCGAGCAGGCCTTTGATGCTGGTGGTGCCTGACGGCTGGTGCTGTCAAAGTGTGCAGCCCCTCTGAGCCAGCACCAGGAACAATTTCTAATCTTTGTGCTCCCAACTGAGCACCACCATCAATACTTTACTACAATCTGCATTCGCCAGATCATTTCAGCCTGGGAAAAGGCTGCACAGCCTCCGCAGTTCCTGCTGTCCGTCACGCCCTTTTTGACCCTGCCTGCGTCCATCCAGCCCTGCTTCGTTGCTAGCTAATCCCAGCTCTGCGCTGGTGGGTTCCTTAGGACACTGCTCGCCCACGGTGCTCTGCGCAGCACTACCGAGCGCCTGAGAAGCGGTTTGGGACAGGAGGTGAAAAGCCAGAGCCAGGAAAGACAAGTCATGAGGGAATTTTCTAATTGCCTGCTGATCATTATGTGCCCACAGAAGGGAAAGCAAGCATAAA